ATATATATATAAAACCCTAAACCGTAAACCCTAATTCCTAAACCCTAAACCCTCCCAAACCACTGTATGCGATTGATTCCACTGCTAACGACAGCTGCAAGCGCGGCATCCTCTTTGATGGTTTTTCTGTCTTCTTTTCATTGTAAAGGATGAATGAACATTAATAACAAATACCAATACACCTGGTAGCTGCTCTGCACTACTCTCCAGGTGTACATACACGAAGAGGCAAAAGAATCCCAGGGAAGATATACTTGTTTCTAATGCTACACAAATACGATCAGGGAAAGAAAACAATTAATTCTTCAATATGAAACGGATCTAGCTTGAGGTTCTTTAAATGCATGCATGCATGCATGAAGGGCAGCCACAACTCAGATACGCCTCGTGCAGCAACGCAGCTAAGACCTGCCTGCCTTCTGCTGTAGCAGCAGCAGCAGCTGTGGCTGCAGCAGCTTCACCATCAGCTAGTTGGTCTATGATATATTGCCCTTCTTGGGTTGGGTATTGTAGCTGCTTCCACAGAAGAAGAACCTCAAGCTAAAGCAATCCTCGGCTTTGTTTGGAGTTTAACAACAAACTAGATTTCGGTATGCAGGTATTGGTGTATCTAATATATATATATATATATATATATTTTCTTGGGGTCTAAGTGTATTCCTACTGTATGTACACCTGAATGTGCATGTGTAGAGAAGAGCTGTGAGAGTTGCTGCTGCCCGAAGTACTACGCAACGAACAAAAGGAAGGAGAAGGACTCAAAAATGAAACGAAGTTTATAGAGAAAAAGCAAAGACACCTGCATGCATGCGACAAGACAGCCCCAAGGGCTTTCAGTGGTGGCTGAGTGCTCCACTCATCAAACATTTACGTAAAACCCCGCCAAACGAATAATACACACAACAAACCTAACAATAAATAATGCATCTGCTGCATGCAGAAAGGGGCCATTTAAATATACGTATCAATATTATTATTCTGTAACAATATATATTCTATATAATATACATATATATATTGTATGCATTTATATATAACTATACATACTTTTATGCAGATATATATATATATATATATATATGTAATATATAGGTACGCACACTATATAGTTTATTATTATGTATGTATGCCCCGGGGGGCCATGCACGTTATAATAAATTATTATATGCATATTACTTGCAGATGCATGTGAACAAGATATATTTTTAATATGCTAGTGCAAATATACACAAAGACATATATGTATGCATGCATGTATATGCATGCACATATATGCATGCATGCATATAAATATGTTTGTTTAATATACAACTGACAACACGCACAGGCAATCTGACGCACATACATGAATATATAACGTATGCGACTGCATACACGCATATATATATATATATATATACATGTATATATATATATATATATAAAGAGATCCTTTGCATGCGTTTAATGAGTCCCCGCATGCATCCAGAAGCGCCTGCTGCTGTATGTATGTACAATTGTCGTATTATGCGGCGTTTCAGTATGCATGCGCTGGCCACAGTCAACTAAACAGATGCACGCACACGGGGGTCTCCATACACCCCTCATATATGCATGAGCTGGGGCCTGAGCCTCAATGCATGCTGCTGCTGCTGCTGCTGCTTGTTGCTGCAGTGTCTCCTTTTCCGCGGGGAAGGAGACACTGCGACAGCTATATATATATATATATACATGATATGTATTATATATATCTATATTATATATATATATATTCATAATGAGACAATCCCTTGCATGCGCTTGATGAGCCCCCGCATGCAACCCAACGCGACCGCTGCAACAAAAAACGGCAGTAATAAACCTCTGAAGGAAGTGTGGGGCTCCTCATAATATGTATGTATATATATATATATATATCTATTATGTTTATATATAATGTATATATATTATATATAGACATGATATATAAACATTATATACATAATGCATATATATATATATATATATATATGAGCCCATAGGCGTGGGGCCTAGTGAGGAGACCGCTGTGCGCTGTCTTCTTCTGCATGCTGATCTCTAAAAGCAGAAGCTTCATTGGGAATAGACACAGGAAGCGGAGTACTTGTATGAATTAGAGGGTCTCCCTCCAGCACCTCAAGCCGCGTTTGGTGCAGCGGCGGCACCTGCAGCAGCAGCAGCAAACAGAGCAGCAGAAGCACAATGATAAGCTAAGATGCTCCAGTAATAAATACAAATATATATACTATATGCATATATATATATATATATATACGAACTGACAGCCCCGATAGAAGCCCTGCATGCACAGATGCATGCAACGCTCCCGTAAGACAGCTCATGCCGACACCGCAAAACACACGCTAATATACATTCGCTTGCTGGGGGAACAGCAGGAGCAGCAGCAGGAGCAGCAGCAGCAGCTGCTGCTGCTACAGGACCGCTGCCAACTGCAACTTTGGCGCCAGGCGCATGCTGCCTTAACATGCTGCATGCAGCCCCAACATGCTGCATGCAGAAGCCTCAACTAACCCATAAGATAGCTCTAAAGCGCGAGGAGTTGTTGACGTGTTCATTCTCCAGCCGAAGCACCGCCCACTGCAACAACCCACCCCAGCCACAAACCTCTCGATGCTGCAGCAGCAGCAACAGCAGCAGCAGCAACAGCAGC